TGTATATATATATATATATATATTTTATATATAATTTTCCTTCTAGTCATCCTTGTATATATATATATATATATATCTTTTCTGGACTTTAAACAGACCAAGAAGATATTTATGGAATCAGCAGATTTCCATCATAAGGGACTCATTTGACAGACTTTTTTTATTTCTAAGAAGTGATTTGATTTAGTTTTTGGCATTGCTGATCTTATTTGATTTCACTCATATTTTGAATACGGATTTCTTTGTATTTGGTTATTATTTAATGGCAAGCGTGCTGCTGCTCTGATAGGATTTGTTCCTCCTCCTTTTGATTAAGGCTGGGTGTTATCATTAAGGTCATGATATTGGTATTAATAGTGTCTTTGAACTTTTAGGGTATGATTATATAATCTCTAATTTGAATCATGTAATATTATAATAAGATCTAAACCCTTTTTGAAGCTCTCTTGAGTATTTAACACAGATTTATTTCCCAGTAATTGTTAGATATCCATCAATCAATCAAACATTTTTCTGCTGATGTCTAAAGCGACTAAATATAAAAACATTAAATGGTTAGGAACAGTTTTCCAAGGCTCTGAAACTGCCCAACCCATCAACTGGCTGAGTTGCACCAAGCTCTGTGTCCGGCTGCAGGTCTCACTTTAGGGGGATGGGGTGCTGCTAGGGGGTCCCCGTCCTGGAATAGCTCGTCTGGCCTGGAATGCTGTGGTGAATGTTTAACAGGGGGGTCTGATTGGTCAGCAGGAGAAGCACGTGTGTGTCTGTGTATCTGTGTGTGAGTGGAGTTAGTTATGAGAAGCTCGTGGAATCTGTGTGCCGAATGGCCGAGGAGAGATCAATCATCATGCCTGTTTGGGAACATCCTCAGAGCGGTCAGCAGGTTGACAGGGAAGCTGTGTTGGGGTCCCAGCCATGTGTCCGTCCTGTCTGCACCTTGTTGTTGTGGCTTCTAGCACCTTTCCCCTGGTCCTTCGTGCTTGCTCGTGTGTACGTGCCTCGCCTTCGATCTGCTCTAGGCTTTGTGAAACCAAATCTGGCTCGTTCATCTCAGAGGAGCTCACTACAGACAGGGATCCTATTAGGCCTTGTGCTCTATGGCTGACCTTTGAACTCCAGCCCCCTGTTTGACCAAAAGGAGCAGAGCGGTCGTGCTGGGTCAGCGTTTTGCTGGGTCATCGCAAGCTATCAGTAACTATCTGTGCATCTGCCAATGAGGAGGCACTCATCAAGGTCTGCAAACGTTGATGTAAAAGGCTAAATGGGCCTGTAGACACAAGCACGTACACTCATGAGGAGCACGCACACTGAAAGCACAAAAGGTCAATTCACGACTCTCACAAATGATCAGATAAGACTCTAAAGTGGACCTTTCAGCAGCTTGTAAGTCAGGGCAGACAGTGTAATGAGTCCGCGCTGAGGCCAACAGCAGATTGTAGCTGAGGGCATCAGACTCTCACGGCCCGGCCTACTGGAAGTGATGGCCCTGCAGGATTTCTGTGTGAACCCTCAGACTCCTTCCCCGGCCAACCCAAAACCTCTGCCACAGGAGGACTACTCCCACCACCATGTTTGCTCAGCTGCTCTGGCTTTAAAATTGTAGATCAAACTCACTGGATTCTGCTGTATGGCTGGGTTTGCTCTTCCTATCAGAACTCAAGATCTAATTTCTTACTTTAAAGATCTAGAGAATACCTACATAGCGTGTACACAAAGGCCTAGGGTACAGATTAAATGTTCTTTTTCTTTAGTCAGAGGAGAGATTTTTCCACTTGTGATGTTTTTTTTCTTTGTTATTTGAGGGCATACCTTTGGATGGATTTTAAGGGTAACAAAACATATTGCTTCCTTGTATGACATCACTTGATAGGAAAAAAACTTAAAAACATCAGGTGGAGATTTTTCAGAGGTCAGGTTCATCATTGAGTACATTTTTCCAAATGACTGAGGCAGCCAGCCTCATCTTTTTCAAACAATTATAGACAAGTATAAACACTATGAGAATGTGCAGTGATCGCACCGATCCGGAAGGAGACACGTTCTGTATCTTACATGTTAACATGTTATGGTGCAAAAAAATTAAATGAGAACCCAAATCAAAAGACAATACTTGGAAACCAAGATTATCCACAGTGAGAAAAGCCCTGAACTGACAAAAGCTGAAATGCCACTCAGGGTGGAAGAAGCAAATACAGTTATCATGTGACTTCATACATCTGTGTGCTTCCATCTTAGTAGGCAAACTTAGAGCTGCAGAGACAGCTTAGTAATTTTGACCATCGAGGAGAATTCTTAACATGAATCCCTACTGGACTAATGTTACCTCTGTAACATGATAGAAAAAGGCATGCTAGCAGGTAGCTCACTAGATGAGAAGGTTTTTCTGTGTTAATAGAGTTAATAGAGCTATTTTGTTTTAAAAATTATCTGACTGCAACATGAACCATAACTGCTGCTAACGGCAGGTACTGATTGTTGGATTTTACTTAAATCAGAGAGCTTTATCCCAGTTAGCATCTGCTTCATTGAAACAAAGTGGGAAATTGTTTAAAAACATGTCAGAGTGACACATACAGTCTTTTAAATACATATTACCATCTCCCCCATTTTGAAAATGAAACATTTAATACATTTTTATTCAATAAACTAAAACATTCCTGATTAGTTATATCTTATAGATAAGTGTAATAATGTGTAAGAAAGCATGTTTTTTGTTTATTCAATCAATATTCAATACAGTTCGATGTTAAAAAATAATGACGTATTTATTTTTTACCTCAGCATATATTATAAAAAAGTATTTTGCCACTTTGTATTATAAAGAGCTGCTTTAGACAGAAACTGAAAAATCATGTTTTTAAGAAAATGGCCACCTATCAATTAATTAAAAGCCAATTGATAAGATTAATTAACTTTAAATTCATTTATCACTAGATAACTCACATTCCTAACTGTAACTTATTTACTTTGTTAAAATGCGCCCCCAACACTGCTCTTTAGGGATAGTTACTCCTAGTTTCCCTTTTCTGAGACCATGGCCAGTTCCAAGCAGAGCATAAATCAATTTCCCTCCAAACCAGCAAACATGTTACACATCATTATGTACCAACAGGGCAGGATAATGTCTGATCAACCCGCTCCAAAGGAGTTCTTCCAGCACAGTTAACCCTGCCATTGTTCCACATTTACATTCAGTTTTTGCAGCAATTCGTGGACAGGTCTAATTATCTTCACCTCTCGACCCTAAAAATCATCACACCTGAGTTGTTTGGAAAACAGTTATATTTTCCAATGCGTATATTCATCTACATGTGAATAACAAAGTGGCAAATTTAGGTTTACATCTGATTAAGCTGGTTTCCAAATTTTTTGAAGGTAACTGTGAAGCAAAACGTGGTTCTATTTCATCCTGCTTTTCTGGGCGATGGATAAATTTTTTCCTTGTATTTATGGCATATTGAGCAAAGACCATTTTTTAGTAATATCAAAGAAATCTCTCAATGCATCAGCCAGAGTGGCCATCACAACACAGATTTAAGAAGGACAAAATTTTGCTGGGAAAAGTTGAGTTACTGGAAGGCCTATAAACCTGACCCAACAACTGCAGTTCTATCAGGAGGAATGGGCCAAAATTCAAGCTAACTAATGTTAGATGCTCGTGAAGGGATGCCCAAAATGTCTGAACAAAGTCTTGTAGTTTTAAAGGAAATTCAACTAACCATAATAATAAAAAAATGTATATCTTTCGCTCACTCATTTTCAGCTATTTAGAAAATAGCAATAATTTTGGTCATCCTAACAAACAAAACAAAAAAGGGTTACTTCTATTTAATCTCAGAAAGTCAAGAAATATGTTAAGATCTGTTTTGATAAACTAAAGTCATTCTTTAGCAAATATGGAAAATACTATATCTAGTATTTTCCATGGGTTCACAGAAGTCCCACATCTATAGCATAGTGTTATGTTGGTTTCATTTTGCACTTCAGTCATGTTAAAATGCTTCTCTGTGATCTCTATGAACTGCCTGAGTGGCTGCACAAGAAGCCAAATCCATCCAATCACTCTTAGGCATTTAAGAAAATGGCTCTAATTAAGTTAGTGGGCTTGATTGTAAACAAGCCATTAGCCTGGGCTGGACATTTCTTTCTCATATCCGGTCCTATAAATCCAATCTAGGGTAATTTGAACCTATCAGTGTCGATTCAGCACCTAATTTGAAACCACAGCAGCAGCACGGAAACATACTTTCATCAGATCCATGGTTATGAAATAGTTTGTGTGTCTAACCTGAAAAGATCCGCAGCCGTTTACGCCTTGGAGGAGGACCCAGCCCCGACACCCCGGCACACTCGTCCTCGTCGTCACAGTCGCCGCTCGCAAATCCCTCTTCAATGTCATCGTTCCACCCATTTGATCCAGTTCCTCGTGACCGAGCTCGCCATCGCTTCTCAGAAACCGTCACCATGTTCAGCAGCTGTGGACAGGAGACAGGTTAAAGGTTGCTGCACCATACCAAACCCCATCTCAATTGTTAGGCCTCTATGTCATAGAGCTGCATATATTAGAGTGTTGCTTTAAATAAAAGGAAAAGTGTATTTTTTTGTGTGCAAAATATTCAAATTCAAATTAGAAAGAAACTATGGTGATCATTGTTATTCAGTCCCCCTGAGTCAATTCTCTTTACAACTCCCTTTGGTGCATGTCACTACCAGCTTTCTATATCTAGAAAAAGGTTTATTGTCAATCGCTCTTTACAAAGTAGCTTAAATTCAGCCAAACCTAATTAGGGGCATCTGTTAACATCTCATAAGTCTAATAATTTAGGAAAAAGATTGATGACTTTAAAGTTTTCTGCTGTTAAATTCAAATAGGACATAAGTTATCATCTTTGGACCAGAGTCTTTTTAAAAATAAGCTGTTTAGTCATTTTATCTGGATGACATTACATTTGCCTTGGAACTATCATAAAAATCTTCATATTATTTTTATGTAGAACAAGGCATTTTAAATCCCATATTAAACATGTTTATAGGAATTTGCATTAACAGTGAAAAACTAGCATTTGTTAATTTGAGGCCGGACAATTCAAATTTTTTAGTATCAGGAATTTTACAAAATTCAATGGAAAGCCTTCAGCTCATCCAAAGTATTGCACCCACATATATGATGGAAATTGAAAAATTAGATAATTTTTCATTCCATTTATTGGCTCCTGGTTAAATCCAGAAAAGAATTTAAAATATGCTTTGAAAAACTAACAAATAAATATAATCATCAATTCATGATTTATAATTATTTATCAGCGATTAATAAAGGTTTTTCTTATAATATTATTTCTTATGTTTCTTACAGATATTATTTTATATTTCTAACAGCGCTCTGCTCTCAATTTGCAATTTTTCTAAAAGCTGAATGGGAGTCAGATCTTTTAGGCTCCTCTCCTGCGGAACCAGTTACCAGGCTGACACACTGTACTTTATCCACAGACCAGCCTTAAAACGTTCCTTTTTGATAAAGCATTTAATTAGAGTGGCTCAGGCTACCCTGAGCTTTCTGTATAGTTATGCTGCTATATCCTTAGGCTGCTAGAGGACATACAGTTGGCCCCTTTCCTTCACTAAGCTACTTTCTCCTACCAATCTCCAATTATTTATATTCTCTTATTTTTTCTCTTCATAGTAGCTCCATAGGGCGGGAAATTCTGTTAAGTTTCTACACCATCCTGGCAGGTAGCATTGGTTGCTGCAACTGGTGATTTATTGTTCTCCTTTTATAGATGATCTACTTGGGTCTGTCTTTCAGTGGTTAACTCTGTCTCTCTCCTAGATGTAGTGGTTTACTGCTACTATCTGTATGCTCTCTCCTTCACTCTATAAACTTGGACACTGGCTCAGAGTTCACATGCTTGGAAAAGGCCTCTAGAGGAGCTACAACTACAACTAATCTTTTACTTTTCTCTCACATAGGAAGCACTCTTGGCTCAGTGCTTCTGTGGTTATTTTGTGTGTCTTCCCTGTCCAATCAAAACCTTAGTAAGTCACGGCACACGGCCGCTCTTTCCGAGCCTGGTTCTGCTAGAGGTTTCTTCATACCAAAAGGGAGTTTTTCTTCACACAGCTGTCACTGCATTCATGCTCGATGTGAGGGATTGCTGCAGAGCCGACACAATGCAAACACTAGCCGTTATCACCAAATTGTCATCAAATAGGTGGGCATCCTCTAAGTATATGATTCGATGCAATCAGCTGGGTTTGCTACAACTTTGAATAACAGCATTGTTTAACAACTGAAATCCATTAAAAATCATGAGATTGACCTGAAGTTGCTCTGTATTGAACTGTATTTGATTTTTTGTTAAAGGTATAATGGAGGTGGTTACTCCTGTTAAATGCGTGTACCAGTCAATTTCTCCATGTGCACACTCTGTAAATGTTGCTTGCAGTTTGCATCGCTCATACAAGCCTACTTTCCAAAAGATTTTCAATTTTTCCACAATGTCAGATTCACCACCGGTAAGTGAAGATGGGGACGAGCACAAATGACGGCCTTACGTAAACATATCACCAAAGTGATTGACAATTAGGAGGACCATTTATTTTGATGATCCACCCGGAAGAAGAACATCCTCCACTATACCTTTGAATAACTTGAGATGACATGAGCTGGCATTGTAGAAATAAACTAAAATGAATTGAGTCATCCAGACCTGCTACAGGTTTTCTGTAGGAGCTAGGTTGTGACCATCACTGGGCCATTCCAACCAATGTAAATGCTTTAATGAGAACCCTTTTGTTGTAGCTCTGGTGGAAGGTCATCCTAGACCCCACTCGCAGGTCATTTTTCACTTCCATCAGAAATGATCCCATCCACTCTGAACAGCTTCGCTGTTCCAGACAAGCATCGGCACAGAATTATCATGCCACCACTGTGATTAACCATGGGGGCTATTTGCAGTGGGGAATGTATCCTTACTCCAAGAAAGTCCTGGGGATGAAACCTGCCTTGGAATTTCTCTGTACAGAGTTTGCATGTTTTCCCAGAGCATTCATGGTTTCTCTCCAGATATGTAGGCTTTGCTTGTTAGCTGTTTATTTCCCCCTAAATAGCCTTGGATGTGAATTTGTGCATGCATGGTTGTTGCTGTATGTCTCTTATATCGCCCTACGATGGACCGGCAACCACTCCACGGTTGGATGGATGGATTTACAAGGGATTAGCTAATAAGCTTCCCTGCAGATGCTGAGGAAAAGAACTCCCATTGGACGATGATGCCAGTGTGCGGGACAGTGTGTTTATGTTTAGGGTGATGAGTCCCGTTATAACTTTCATAGTTAGAGAGTTTTATTTAATTGCATCAGAGAATGTTTTTTTCCATAACCTTTCAGTTTTTTTCTGTGAAAAAGAAACTATCGTGATGTTGCATCCAGTTTACAATTATGCATAACTATTTTGTCTTGGTGCATCATATAAAGACGCCCTACATAATTGGTTTATCAAAGCTGAGACAAGAAATGAGGCCTGTCTCTGGGCCCAAGCATGTTCTGCATCATTACAGGAGTATGAGGGGAATTCCAGACAAAAATCCGGCAGGATCTGAGAGCATTGCTGTTTACCAAACTCTTATAATCACCAGGCAGGAAAGCACTTTTTTGTTATTTTTGCCAGTTCTGTTATTTTTGCCCAAATGTGATTCATTCGAACAGTTGTGGCTTTGCGTCCATGTAATTTACTGGTTGAAAAATAAACTGAGGGGTGAGCAAGCTGGAACAACTGTGTTGTTACTGGCAAACATTGTTGTCTATAGTGGTTGTCACAGTGCAATAACACAGAATAACACAATGACCAAGTGAAAATCAAGGTCTCGGGATCCAAAATTAAAAATACCCTGTGAACGACTGGGAAAAGCGAATGCTAATGTTTGTGGTATTTGCAGGTTATAGCTCACTGGGTCATGTGAGGTCAAACAGTGGAACCGCATGACAAATAAAACAGACCAAAGAACTGCAGCTCCTTTAACAAAAAACATGCAAGTACAAAAAGACTGACTAAATCCAGCTTGGACAGACATGAAAAAAATAGTTGGAAATGTTTTTCAGTGCTCATTAGACAAGTCAACTTTATGATGCTCAATCCTGCAGACTGGTAAACTAATTCACTCATTATTAACTCAATAGTCTGAGAGCTGCACGTTTATGGCTTACTTTAACAGCATTTGGGTTCATATGAAGACGTAGCAAACTGTAGTTATGTTACAAATAAATAAGTGAGACCGAGAAAACTGCCCCCTGCCTGGTTATTGGCACTTCTGGTATGATGTGCAGAAAGCTTTCATCTTTTACTGCTGTAGGATAATTACCCAATAAATCATGGAGAAAAGACCTTCAGTTTGATAAAATCTTTGCTTTTTAAACATTAGGAGTTTCCAACCACAGGGCTCTGAACCAAAACCAGGCACATATGTATTACTAGCATGTCACTAATATGTAATCAATATGTTTCAGCCATTTACACAGTTGTAATTTGCACAGCTTATGTGCAGCTTAATTTTGAAAAATTCTTTTCATCCATGCGCACTAGAAGTAACAAAATATGTTGCACCAACAAAAGCATGTAAGCTGATGAGGTGAAAAGATGGCCGGTCCAAATGGAAGCGTCTGCTTTATTCATACTGCTGATTCCTCCAGAAATCCACTAAAGGCTGAAGGCAAACGTGGTTTGTAAATGGAACTGACACAAATCTTTATTTCTGATAAAAGTTTGAAGTTGACTGGATCATTTCTGTTCCTTTATTAATCCATGATTGCTTGTTTTCCTGGTCTTCTGAGTTCCTTTTAAAGGGAAAAGGCTGGGAATTAATGCTGGGGTTTTGTCTACAAGAAGGAATAATCATTAGAAATGTCCTTAATCATCAGGACTTTTCAGAAGAGACTTAAACTGAGCTTTTTAGGGACAAATAAAAGAAATAAGAATCCCATACCATGTATTAAAGATAATATACTTACTTGTTTCTTTCATTGAAGGAGCCATCTATGGTTACCTTTACATACATAAAAAATAGATCAATAGATCAGTGCTTCAGTCCATTTTGCTTTTGTGCATCTGTTTCTGTCCTGGACCCCCAGTTGGCCTCAGCAAAAGCTGTCTTTTTCTCTCCACTGTCACTGCATGCATGCTGATTGAGAGGGACTGCTGCAGAGCCAATAAAAAAAAACTAGCAAGAATCTGCTGTTGCTGCTGTTCATCCAGGAGGAGCAAATACTGCAAAGTCACTGGCTAGATGAATGTAGCTGGATGTTATGTGAACATATCACCAGAATGACTGACAATTAGGAGAACCACTTATTTAGCTAATTTACCCGGAAAAAGAACATCTTCTACTGTATCTTTAATAACACTGGAGCACATTCCTCTCAATTGGAGCTTGATAAATAGATTGAAATGAATGCTGTTGGTCGGGTTTTCCTGCATTGAAAA